AGAAAGGAACGGAAGAATACCTTCAATGTCCCCAGGAAAAAATAGCTTAAGTCATATACCTGGCAAAACAATCAAGAAAAAGGATGAAATAGAGATTTTTTCTTGTTTCACAAAGATTGAGAAAATTTACAATCAACAGATCCTTTAGGATCTCCCAAAAACTTTAGAAAGAGAAAAGATTTTCTAGGAGGACAGTGTGAGACAAAAGAAGGAACATATAAATCTAGACAAACATTGTCTATAGAAAATCATAACATCATGACCTAGTGTTAAAATGAAAGAAGATAGAAGTAAAACGTTAGAAAAGGTATAATTCGGGAAAAAGCACAATTAAGACATTTACTTTTCAGTAGGAGGGAAAAGATAGAGCAAAGACTTTGTTAAGTTATATAGTATAAGAAATTTCAAGGATGATCATTCTATTAGAAATAGAGTGCTTGCTTAAGGTTAGCAGAGGAGGCAAAATCAACAATAAAGGAGAAAATTATAGAAATATATAGACTCAAAGATACAAAATATGTCGCTTATTTAGCAATATAAATGGACTATACTCTTCTCTTAAAAACAAATTCAGAATTGACTTTAAAATTCTAGTCTCATACTGTTTACAAAAAATACAGATGAAGCATTAGGTTGTAGAAAGTTTAGAACTATAAGAAACGGAAAAGTAGCATCAGATAAAAACAAACTAGTTGAAAATTGTGGGGGCTAAATTAATATAAAAATGTTCTTTAATTAAAGAGCATTTCTGAAAACGTGGATACAAGCTTCAACTCAACAGGGAGGTGTAAACACCAAACATTGTATACACCTAATAATGCAGATATATCTAGAGATAGAGATAGAGGTGTAGGTATGCATTTGACAGAACTTCAAGGAGAACTTAGGGAAAGATTGCAATACATTTCTCGATTAATTGACATAGTAAGAAAATGAAAATAGTAAGGGTACAGAATTTTTCACAGTATCATTAGCAAGTCTGATTTCATGTACATTTACAAAACCCTTCACAGAAGAAGTGGAAAATATACACTTTTTTTTAAAGCACACTTAGTATCTTCTGAAAATTGGCTGTATACCAAGTAATGAAAAAATCAGAAAATTGCAATAACACAAAACAAACAGTCTGACCACGGTGCTCTAAAGTTGGAAACCAATATTATAAGGCAACTTTAAAATCCCATATATTTAGAAATTTAGAAACACATTTCCAAGTGACTCATTTGCCAAAGAATGAATCACAATATAAATTAGAAAATAATTATAAATGAGTAATAAGTAAAATAAAATATAGAAACATAGGATGTGGCTAAAAGAGCAGAGGAAAACTTGTAGCTTTAAATGCTCATCTTGGAAAAGAAGAGAGGTTAAAATTTGTAAGCCAAGTGCTCAACTTGAGAAGTCAGAAAAAGAAAAACAGAATAAATATTAATGAAGCAAAGGGTAACAAAACAACAAGAGATATTAATAAAATAGAAAAAAATGATACAGAGAACTAATGAAGGAACACCACTACCCTTTGAGAAGATTAATAAAATTGACATTGCTTTGGCAAGATTGATCAAGTAATGTACAGACAGTGTTTAAATAATCTTAAGAATGAAAGCAGGAATATTACTATAAATGTTATAGAAATTTAAAAAGATAATTCAACAAGGTTTTGAGAAATTCATGCCAACAAAATTTAAAAGCTTAGTCAAAACATGTTCTAGAAAAATACAAATTACCAAAATTTAATCAAGAAGTAACAGAAAAATTGAATAATTCTATAATTGTTAAAAAAAAAAGACTGAATCAGGGGTTAAGAATCCTCCCCCAGAGATTATAACAAACACAGACAGTTTTATAGGAGAAGTCAACAGAAAGTCCGAGGAAGAGTTACTTTGATAGTATACAACATCTTCCAGAGAATAAAGAAGGAGGGAATACTTTCCACTCTATTAATGTAACTATTTTAGCCTCAATTCCAAACCAGACAAGGATAGTAAGAAAAAAAAGATAAACACATCAATTTCACTCATAAAAGCAGATGCCAACATTCTAATAAAAGAGGAAACAAACCAGATAATAATTTTAAAAGATAATGCCATCATGTACAGATGTACAAGAGCTGTGATGTTGGTTCCATGTTAGAAAATCTATTGATGTAATTCACATATTAGCAGATTAAAGAATAAAATCTATTCACTTATCTCAATACATGCAGGGGAAAAAATAATGGTAAAACTGCTTAAAGACTAGGAATGGAGGTAAAATTCCATCATCCAGTGAATCTATGCAGACCACCAACAAATATCATACACCAGCGAACTATTAGAAACAGTCTCTTTAAAATCACGAGCAAGGCTTGATGGGTACTGTCAACACTTCTATTACAGATTATTCTGGGCTTTCTAGCCAGGGCAATTAGAAGGCAAAAAAAGCAAAATAAGTAAGAATTAAAAGAAGAAATAGAACTGTTGTTATTGGCAGTTGATAGGATAGCCTAGAATAGAGATCAGCAACCAATGGCCTATAGGCCAAAACCAGCTTGCCACCTGTTTTTGTAAATGAAGTTTTATTGAAACACAGTCATCCCATGCTTGTTCATTTACGTGCTGTCTGTGGCTGCTTTCATGCTACAATGGCACAGCTGAATCATTGTTAGAGACCATACGGCCCTCAGAGTCTCAAATGTTTACTATCTGGCCCTTTAAAAAAGAACAAAGTTTGCCAAGCCCTGATCTACAGTCTAAAATTATTGGAATTAACAAAACAGTTTAACAGGTTGTCAAAACTGTCGACAAAAATTAATTGCATTGCTTTACTTTCATAATAAGCATTTAAAACCTTTATATACATATGTCTATATACACATAGTCACAAAATACTTTTTGAAAGATTTTTTTAATTTTTCACTTTTCTCCCCAAAGCTCCCTATACGTAGTTGTGTGTTTTTAGTTGTGGGTCCTTCTAGTTGTGGCATGTGGGACACCGCCTCAGGATGGCCTGACGAGCGGTGCCATGTCCACACCCAGGATCCAAACTGGCGAAACCCTGGGCTGCCGAAGTGGAGAGCACAAACTTAACGACTCAGCCATGGCGCCGGCCCCACAAAATATTTTTAAATTAGAAATAAAAGTAACAGAATTTCAGAAATCGTATTTGGAGGAATATTATTAAAAATTAGTCAAAGAATTTGAGGATGATCAAATAGATGGAAAGAGAGCGAGCGAGATCGCACTCCTAGGTTGGAAGACCCAGAATTGGAAAGACTCAAGTCTATAATCTCCCCAAATTCAGTCGGATTCCGATCAAAACTGCAACAGAGTTTCTCACTGAACTGAACATATATTTTTAAAAATCTATACAAAAAGGGAAAGGATTAACAACATTTAACACTTATGAAGAAGAAGAAAAGGATTTGTAGAGATTATCCTGTCCAATGACATATTATAAAGTAACAATATTTGAATCAGAATATTATTGAGGCAGAGATAGAAAAACAGACCAATAGCACAGAAAAAGAAACTCAGATAGACACATTTAAATATGGAAACTTGATCTGTAACAAACGTGGCATTAGAGTTTAGTGAAGAAAAGACATATTATTTAGGAAATGGTAGAAGGGAATTGTTTGTCCATAAACACATGCAAACAATTTTATGTAGATTAAAAAATCAATTGTGCAAGACAATGTCTAAAATAGTCTAAGAAGAAAATACTGGACAAATCCTAATGAAACTAAGGTAAGAAATTATTTCATTAAAAAATACACTGCATAAAACATAAAGAAAAAGTTGCTACATCTGAGTGAGCTAAAACTATCTACTTATCAATGAGCTCCATAAAAATACTGAAAACACAAACCATGGCCATAGAGTGGCCATTTCCCACAGTTAACCAACATTGTGTTAGTGTTGCAAATATATAAAGAATCATCTCCAAATTATAAAAAGACAGAAGAAATTCACAAAGAAAAATAACCCAAAAGAGGAAACAAAATGCCAAATAAACTTGTAAAAAATGTGCTCAACTTACTAGTTATCATTTAATGCAAATAAAAATTATAATATGGACCTTTTTACATCCTCCAGATTGACAAAATTTTAAAAGATTGACGATAACAGCTCAGAAGATTTATTCCTTGCTGCAAATATGAATTCATACAACTATGGCAATCCAGTAGTTTAATTCCTAGATATACAACCCCCCCCCCCCCACCCACCCACCGAAACTCCCAGGTGCACCAGGAAAATTGCACAAGAATGTTTAAAGCAGCAGTGTATCTAGCAACAAATTCCAAGAGACAGGATAAGCGAATGAATCGTCCCTCAGAATAAATCTGCAGAGCAGAATACTGAGTGAATGAAGCAAGGCGCTCAACAGTATATACAGTACAATTCCACGAATAAATATCCAAAATCATAGAAGACTAGATGCAATCATGTTTAACACTATAGACACACACACACACACACACACACATCCATGCATATCTTGTAAAACCGTGAGGAAATTCAAGGGAATGGGCAGTCTGAAATATAGCTCACTGTTCATGCCCTGGGCAGAGGAGGGTGATATTGCTAATGTTCTGTTTCTTATCAGAAGTGACTAGAAGTTGTTCATTAACTTTGTTACTTTGATCTATACATATAGGTTAGTCATACTCTTTGGTATAAATGATACATTTTTATTATACATAGTTATAAAATATTTTTGAACAAACTAGACAAATGGTAAATAAAGATCATCTTCCTACAAAAGGTTAAAAGTTTGATCCTCAAATGAATACCGGTTCATTCCCAATATCACATTCTAACAACTAGAGATTCATTTCCAGACCCTCCACTATAGAGCTACACCACCCTATCTCACCACCGCATATGTGATCATTAGCCATTTTTTGATAGCTGAAAGCTTTTATGTGACATTCAAGCTCTAGATTTTTACATAGGGTAGGCTAAAAAAGAAGAAAAACAAATACCACCACATAGTATTTGTAATTCTTTGTTTTTCAGAGTCACATTGGAAAATGTGCTGTATCCATTAACCTTTTTGCAAAGAGCAGAAGGTAAGCTAGTTAACATTTGACAGCTTCTCAGAGTCTATGGACTTCTAATGAAAAATACGCTGCTACCTCTATTTTCTGTATACCTGTCAGTTGCAGAGTTTGTTACAAGGAGAACCATTACTATCACTGTGTTTTACTTCCCCAATGCCGCATCTTCTGTCAGTAAATATAAACTGAGGGAGATCTTGACTTATTACCATATGCATTTTAATTTTCTCACTCAGTAATCTCATATTGACCAGTTGCTTGCTAACGGTTTATTCTGTGCATAGCAAATACATTTTGCTGTTCTGGCATACTGCTTGATAGTGATCCTGCAGCATAGCCCAGAGTTAACTATCTTTCCTTTAAACACCAAGCAAGAAAAGGCTAATGGAAACAACACATTCCTCTCTGGCCTTGGCAATTACCCAGCATGTTCCCATAATCACAGAATGATTAAAAATGATGATGGCATCATGGAATATTTGTGCAAGGGACAACAAAGATGCAGGTGCAGTAATAGTAAGATGGTGGCAGAGTCCCAAAAGGAAAAGGTGAGAACAGTTTCCAGCCTAGAGTGTAATCCATCAGTAACTGGATGTCCTCTCTGGCATATAATTAATAGCTTGGGATTTCACTCAGTAATTGACTGTTACATAAGCCTTTACCATCGCTGATAGGTAATTCAGAAGTCCCCCGAGCTCATTGTCAATCCTGTACAAATGCAGGCGACAGAGCCCACACTCTTTCCCAATTTCTTTCTAAGCTGTCCATACCTGTCTGCATGACTCTTAGCATTTGTATCAGTTAGGATGATTCCAACTTCAGCTAACAGCCTTAATTAGCTTATATAAGAATGTATATTTCTCTCACGTGAGTCCTCAAGTGAGTTTCCAAGGTTAGTTAATTCCACTGCTGAACAATATCAGTGAGGACTGAGGTTTTTCCTGTCTTTTCACTCCCCTCATCCTCAGCCTCTTGACATTTGTTCTCAGGCTTGTCCCCTCCAATCATGAGGAACTCATGTATTATGGCCTCAGATCATTTCCAAACAATTGAAAGGCAAAAGTTGGTAGATTCAGCCTTTTATTTTTTAATTCTTTTCAAGCTTTGTTGAGATATAAATGATATATAACATTGCATAAGTTTAAGGTGTACAATGTAATGATTTGATGTATGTATTCATTTTGAAAGCATTGACACAATAAGGTTAGTTAACACATCCATCACCTCACATAGTTACTATATTTTTTGTGTCATGAGAACTTTTGAAATCTACTCTCCTAGCAAATTTCAAATACACAATACAGTATTGGTAACTATAGTCACCACGCTGTACATTATATCCGCAGAACTTATTTACCTTAAAACTGGAAGTTTGTCCTCTTTGATCATCTCCACCCATCTCACCCCTCCCCTGGCAATCATCAGTCTGCTCTCTGTTTCTACAAACTTGGTTATTTTAGATTCCACATATGAGTGAGATCATTCAGTATTTCCTTTTCTCTGTCTTACTTTTTTCACTTAGCATAACACCCTCAAGTTTCGTCCCTGTTGTCGCAAATGGCAAGATTTCCTTCTTTTTAACAGCTAAATAATATTCCATTGTGTATATATATGTGTATATATATGCATGTACATATATATATGTGTTGTTTCTTTGCCTTGGCTATTGTAGATAATGCCAAAATGAACATGGGAGTGCAAATATCTCTTATGCTATTTCGTTTCCTCAGATATATACCAAGAATTATATTGTGGAATTGCTGGATCGTAGGGTAGTTCTATTTTTAACTTTTTAAGGAACCTCCATAATGTTTTCCATAGGGGCTACACGAATTTACATTTCTACCAAGATTGTACAAGGGTTCCCTTTTCTCTACATCCTCACTAACACCAGTTGTCTCTAGTGTTTTTGATTATATCTATTCTGATAGGTGTGAGGTGATATCTCGTGGTTCTGCCTTGCATTTCTCTGATGATTAGTGATGTTTGAGCATCTTTGCATGTACCTGTTGACCATTTGAATATCTTCTTTGGAAAAATGTCTGGTCAAGTCCTTTTCCCACTTTTAAATTGGATTAATTGTTTATTTGCTATTGCATTGTATGAGTTCCTCATTTATTTTGGATATTAACCCCTTATCAGACATGTGGTTTGAAAATATTTTTTCCCATTTCGTAGGCTGCCTTTTCATTTTGCTGATCATTTCTTTTGCTATACGAAAGATTTTAGTTTGGTGTAGTTTCAGTTGTTTATTTTTGGTTTTATTACTGGTAATTTTGGTATCATATTCATAAAATCATTGCCAAGACCAATGCCAAGGATATTATTTTCTATGTTTTCTTCTAGGAATTTTATGATTTCGGGTGTTACATTTTGGTCTGTAAGCCAATTCTGAGTTAATTTTTGTGAGTAGTATAAGGTAGGGGTCCAGTTTCCTTGTTTTGCATGTATATACCCAGTTTACCTGCCATTTATTGAAGAGACTGCCTTTTCTCCATTTAGTATTCCTGGCTCCCTTGTCAAATGTTAGTTGACTATATATGCATGGGTTTATTTGTAGGCTCTTGATTCTGTTCCATTGATCTATGAGTTTATTTTTATTCCTGTATCATACAGTTTTGATTATTATAACTTTGTAATATAGTTTGAAATTAGGAAGTATGGTACCTCCAGCTGTGCTCTTCTTTCTTAGGATTGCTTTGGCTATTCAGGGTCTTTTCTGGTTCCATAAGAATTTTAAAATTTTTTTTCTATTTCTGTAAAAAGTGCCATTGAATCTTGATAGGGATTACATTGAACCTATAGAAGGCTTCGAGTAGTATAGAGATTTTAACAATATTAATTATTCCAATCCATGAACACAGAATAACTTTCCATTTATTTGTGTCTTCAATTCCTTTCATCAATGTCTTGGAGTTTTCAGTGTAGAGATCTTTCACCTCCTTGGTTAAGTTTGCCCCTGTATATTTTATTTTTTCTGATACTATTGTAAATGGTATTGTTTTCTTTATTTCTTTTTGCAGATAATTCATTGTTAGTACATAGAAACACAACTAATTTTTGTATGTTGGTTTTGTAACCTGCAAGTTTTCTGAATTTATTTATTAATTCTAACAGCTTTTTGGTAGAGTCTTTAGGATTTCCTAGAAATAAGATCATGTTATCTACAAACAGAAACAATTTTGCTTCTTTCTTTCTGTTTCAGATGCCTTTTATTTCTTTTTCTTGTGTAATTGCTCTGGCTAAGACTTGCAGTACTATGTTGAATATAAGTGGTGAGAACGGGTATCCTTGTCTCATTCCTGATCTCAGAAGAAAAGCTTTCAAACTATCATTGTTGAGTATGATGTCAGTTGTGTTTCCTGATCGGATGTTACCACTGGCTGGACTCTGTGTTCTGGCTGGGCCACAGGAAATGCTTTGCTGTCATAAAAAGCCTCAATCTGTGCTCCATGATCAGGTAGGGTTGCAAAGTACACCCCTGAGTTGGGCAAGGACCCTAGCTGAGCTTTGTAATCAGGTAGGCTGCTGGCCATGCTCTGCTGGTGGATGAGGTCACTGTTCAGGCTCTTTCATTGGGAGGGGCCTCCAGCAGTATTCTGCAGTTGAGTTGGGGTAGAGACTGTGCTCTGTGGTTGAGTGTTGTCAGTGTTTGGGATCCTTCCTTGGTTGGGTCCTGCAGGCTATGCTTCACAATTGGGCAGGGCCACTGGCTGTGCTACCTGCCTGGGCCAGGCCACAGGCTGCATTCAACAACCTGGCAAGGCTGTAGGCTGGGCTCTTTGTCTGGGCGGTACCATAGGCTGGCTTCTGAGGCTGTCCGGGGTCACTGTTCAGGCTCCTGGTTATGCAGGGCCAGAGGCTATACTAAACAGTTTGACAGTACTGCTGACCTGGCTCCCTGTCCAAGCCTGGCTGTAAGATGGGCTCTTCCGCTGCCCAGATCTCTGATCAGGCTTCCTGGTCAGTGAGATTGGAGGCTATACATAATATTCAGGTGAGGATGTGAATTTGCTTCCCTTCCCAGGAAGGGCTGTAGAACAAGCTCTGCAATGGACCCTTCTTTTTGGTTGAGGACCCAAATCGAGCAGAACTGCCTACGGAGTTCCCTGGTCAGACAAGGCCACCAGCTTGGCTCTGCAGATGGGCAGAGTTGCTGGCTGCAATCTCTGCTCGGACACTGCTGTGTGTCACCATAGGATACACTCTGTGGCTGCCCAGGTTCTCTTCCTAGGCTTCCTGGTCAGGCAGGACTGGAAGATCTACTCAGCATTTCGGCAGGACTTCAAATTTGCTTCCCTGTCTCGGTTGGTTGTAGAACGGGCTCCATGGCCAGTATGGCTTGTCAGCTAGAGAACTGAATCAGGCAGAGCTCCCAACCGAGGTCCCTGGCCAGACAAGGTCACCAGCTTGGCTCTGTAGATGGGCAGAGCCACTGGCTGGGATCAGGCACTGCTGCAAGGAGGAATGCAATCTGCCAAGATCCCAGGGCTGGTTGCCCTAAGCCCTGCCCCCTCTTTTCCTTCTCTACATGATCCCCAGTGGTCAAGCCCTGCAGATTCCCCTAGTGATCTCTGTGAGGCAAGACCTGAGATGCCTCAGGAAGCATACTTCAATGCTGGAGGAGCTAGATGTCCACCTTGTGCTCTCTTTTTCCCACTGGAAAAACCATAGGCCCAGGGCCTCTGTCAGTGTGGTACTGTGCCAACCTGGGAGAGGGTCAGTGCGGTTAGAGTGTAGCAGCAGCTCCTACCCTTCGAAGAGGTCCTTCTCGGTCTCTGTGCTCCAGGTGTGCTTCAGCCTCACTTCCAGTTTCTGAGATTTTTCTCAATGGTGTCTTGTCTGTGGATAGTTAATGTTGATCTTCTTGTGAGGAGTACCAAAGTTGAGAATGACCTATGCTGCCATCTTGATGATGTCACTCCATCTAGACTCAGTCTTTGTGCATTTTTTTTTTTAGATTGGCACCTGAGCTAACATCTGGTGCCAATCTTTCTCTTGGTTTTCTCCTT